TTAGATTCGGAGACAAAGCCGTGCCAATACCATAAATACACCCGCGAATCAAAAAAATTAGACACTCCGTCACGATTGGTATTAGATTTGCGAACGAATTTGAACCACTGCTCACAGCGAATAAATAAATCGTTCTCGACTCTTCGTTCATAACGTAGAAAAATTCATTACGAACAATAACTGCACAATAATCTAAACTTAGTTATGATTACTACTTCTGGTTAAAGACGTAGCGTGCAATTCATTTCGCAGCGTGCGCAATTCTCATTTCTGCTTTAAACCATCCAATCGAAATTGCTTTCACGTGAACAAGCAGAAACGTAATTTGTCGTTTTTCGAATTCAATCGCGTACTACCAGAGTGGTAAAAAATATCTAGCTAAAAAAGTTACTGATGTTCGTATAGCCAAATGCCAATTTTAAATTTCCTTTAAAAAAAAAAAAAAAAAAAAAAAAAACGTCACTGTATACGTATTTACCGTAGCAAGTGGTCAATAGTTCAGGATAGGCTGAACCCCATGACCTGGTATGTCCAGGAGTATCGAATTCCGGCATCACTCGGATACCCCTTAGCCTAGCGTAGTCGACAATCTTCTGAATGTCGTTCAACGTGTATACCATTGAGGGATGGTACGCTCCCTTGGCGGACAAATCCGGATAACTGGAGCTCTGATAGGGGAAGCTGTTGTCGTCGACGATGTGCCAGTGGAGAACGTTCATTTTATTGTAAGACATGGCGTCCAATGTAAGCATGATGTCAGAGATGGGCAAATAATGGCGAGACGTGTCTAATAAGAGTCCACGATGAGGGAGCATTGGTCGATCCACAATAGTCTGACATCTTATTTTTAACTAGGGAAAAAACGTGTATTTGTGATACTTCTTCTTTTTATTTGGGGGACTTTCAAGTCAATCGATTGTAAGATTATAATATTTCATATACATTGAATCAGAGTCAGTTGATTCTTTTTTTTTTATAATAGTTACAGAATGTAATCATAATCACTAATCATTAATCAATTAATCACTGTGAAGATAAATCAATTCCATAAATCAGTTTGTAATCATTAATCACTAATTTTCAGATTATGAAATAATTAATTTACATTTTATTTAAAATCAATAATTGTATTTGTACATAACTTCACTGGCGAATTTTACACGTTAAAATAAGAAGAAGGTTCATATTTTAATTTCTATGAATCTTGTTCCCGAGATATGTATAGTCATTTCAGTATCAATTGTTTATTTGATTTTATAGAAATTGCTCGAAGTCACATTTAACGAACATCTGTTAAGAAAACATTTTGCATTTGTATAATCTATTATTATTAGTAAAATTTTAGAAAATTATTAATTAATTGAGTAAGTGACTGAGACTATCTTTGATGGATGGAACGAAACGAATACATAAATCAGAAATACTTACAGTAGGATCGAAATATTACTATTCCTGTCGATATAAGACTGACAGCGATAAAAAATTGAACTTATTACTTTCTGGAACTTACTTTGATTTTATTTTAATTCAGTAAATGAATAATTAATTCTTTGATACAAGCCATTTTTAATTACGCTGATCAATTTCTGATCTCCTCCATTTAAGTTTTCTATATACTTACGTTAGAACTATCGCCAGCTGGAATTAAGAGTTGAGAAAATGTCTCGAGACCTCGAAGAATTCCCCATATTGACTCAGCCATTAGATTTGCGACCGTAGAGGTTTCATTAATAATGAGAGTGTCTGCAAAATTTCAATTCGTTCGAGTTTCAATTCGTCTCAGAGAAGAAGCAGGTCTTTCAATTAATGATTAATCTTTTACATCGAATTAAATTGTCCATGATTTTTTTTTTATTAAATTTGTAGATTTAGATAACTTTTAGCATATTCTAAAATTTCTGTGACAGTTCTTCTGGTAGACTATCTCTTTTTAAGCACCACGAAGAATTGTTGTCACACTGAAGTGATTTTGCAAGCATCTACATAAAGCGATACTTATTAAATACTATCAGAGTATAAAGGATTAAAAAAGTCAATCGATGTTTGAAATCTGTCGTAGCATTTAAAATTCTTTTCAATCTCCAATTACGTGAATTCTAATACTCCGTACAGTAGTTTGCAGATCCTTATCACGACTCGTTCGTTTCATTCAAAAAGAAAAACGAAGAAGAGAAAAATGACGCGTGAAAAAGGCTTAAATCCTGTAAAATAGCGATAGAACGTGCGTGTGATCTTCATTCTATTTCTGGTTAATCATTCGGTTCGACCTCGAAGTTGAGCTCGAAAAGGAACGATTAAATAAAATCAGGCTTCATAACGTAGCTTTGTCTCAATCATCCTACTAACTCGTTTCTTCGCGTATCTTTAAACCGCGTCTTTCTGATATCTATACTTTCCGAAATACAGTAAAGTACTTTCATATCTGAACTAAAGGTAATGGGGTCCAAACTAACTAACAGTGTTTGATTGATTAGAACGCTGTTTTGATATTAGATCGCATCATTTATTGCAATATTTATTTTTTTGAAAATGTTACATCTTTTTTTATTTTTAGCATTCTTTCTCTGTTTCTAATCGTCTTTGGTTTCAGAGAACACATTCTCATCATTTTTGTTTTTGTGGGAAAATTATTTAATAAATTATTTAATAAACATAATGTTCATTGTCATATTTTTTTTCTTTTTTTAGCAAATTCTTCTTGCATTTATAAAAAAAAAAACACAAAACATATAATAAAACAGTATAAAATAGTTTAATACAAGACAAAATATTATTGTTATATATTCTGTTCGGATAACTTCATTAATTTGGCCAATGCCAAACCTAAATTAATACCTTTAAATACACGCATGTTGCAAGTCTGTAACATTTACTATATCATTAATTCTAAATGATTTAAAAAAGAAAATTATACATTTAAGAGCTAAAAAGTACTTGTTTTTTGCTTACTAGCAAACCCGACAGTTACATGTTGATTTCAGAATGTTGATCTCTGCAATATATTTCAAAATCATTGAAATCGATAATTTCACCTAACTTTTTCAAACAACCGATGAAACTGCGAAAGAGCAATTTCTCTTCAATTCAAGATGATCTTTGTAACATATGCGAAGATTAAGATCATTGGGAATTCCCTAAATCCCTTTTTTACTATTTTATAATTTTTCCTTGTCATGTGCATTGTATACATGTTCTCTCTTTCATTAATGCATAAAAATTCACAAATTCATAGATATTGTAGTATTTGAACAACGGGGAGGCTTGTCTGTGCTTAGAAGCATCTTGCACCTCGAAGCTTTCGCAATCTCGTAACTGCATCGTCGATGAATCAGCATATTTAAATAAATTCACGAATCGAGGATGATATGGTCTGATGAGATCCGTTGACACTAATCCATTTGCCAGCTATCTCAATGGCTTAAGCAACGGAACAACTCGTTCGGGAACGTGTCACGGTTACATCGACTTCTCTCTTATTAAACGTGCACATCTACTCTTACGCCTTTTAATTATGTTTCCCGCTATAGCAAGAGGACTTACATGATTCCGACATTTGCAAATGAGGCCAGTGGTTGCCATCCTTCTCGCAAGACTCGCCCAGACGAATGTCCAAAGTGTTAAGGGTACCTTTAATGGTTCCATCGTCCCTCACCGGCGATCTCGGATGCCCTTGCGACGAGATCTTCGCTATTCGCGCTTCCGTTAGAATGATCGCCTTGTACCTTTCTACCGCATCCGTCATGATATCGCACGTCTCGCCGATCACCTGCGTGATTATCCGTTTTATCCTCGCGATATTATTCGTCCTAGTAGCACGACTTACTTTAATAAAAGGAAAAACTTGTCAACTGTAAGCTGTAATTAAGGAAGGAATCCCCTTAGCTTCGTGTTTTCCTTATACAACAGACAGATAAAGCATACGCGCAGCGTGTGCTTGAGATAATGACACGGCGAACTATCTGTGTATGCGGATAGCATTGAAAGCAGCAAAAGTTCAAATAAAAGATAAGACAACGAAACGAAATGGTCAATCGCTTTTTACAAACGTGAAGAGTGGATTAGTGCGCTTTGTTTTACTAAAGTTCTCTGTTATCAGAAGAACCGTTGTCACACACAATAATCACAAACAAGATACTCTTGTTGTTCGAGGGTCAGTGAACTGGAAAATTTGGAAAATTCGCTTCTCAATTGCCTTCGAATTCTAAACTCGAGAATGGATATTATTACCTGAATATTATTAAATATCTCGTCTTGGTATCCAACTATTATTATATGCTCTCGTTATATTTCGCGCCTTTTGCGAATGTTTGCAAGAGAAGAAAGAGAGAAAAAAGAAAAAACGAAGATATCCAAAGAGATGAGGAGAGCAGAATACCGATTATACCCATGCATTGAAGGAAGTGTCCTCCTCTTCGCGATCAGCTCTTCAATTACTCACGTTGAACTGGAAGGTCGAGGCACGCAGAAGATAGAACGCTTGGCTCATGCGACGGAGATTCGGATGGGGCCAAGGTTCGCCCTGCGTGGGCAGCACCCAAGGGCCAGCGTCCGGGTTCAACGAGTGAACTGGACCATTCTGGACCAACAGACACGACGCCCACCCCAGCAGCAGGAACGATATCGGCGATCTGGCCCTCATGTCCATCGATCTACAAGCTGCTGGTATTCGGCTGGAGGAACGATGCGACGCGACGCCAGCGAGTGGTCATCGTCTACTGAACGCAGAGAACGACGCGTACGGTAACGAGAGTGGTAACGACCTTAGGCTGCGCCACTTAACTTTCATCACTTCGCCTCGGCGGCGTGGCTCACGGTCAAGTGGGAACAACCAGTCTACGGTTCGACTGCGTCCTTAAACGAACTTTTTTCCAGCAGACGAGCGTCGCGGTCGCGGACAAAGACAAGAACTGTTGATCACCCGGTCGACCCGGTTGACGGAACGTTGACACCGTTGTGAACTCTCACGCAGGTGCAACACAGACTGAAACACGGACCAATTTTCGACGAACACATTGTCCGTATTTCGGGAAATTCCACGGCGAGAGAAAATTCTTTTCCCGGCCAGAAAGCGATAGAGAGATTTCTAAAGTCGTTCGAAAGCCTCACGCCGGGGGATCTGTTCCTCGAGATGGTTATGAATAATCTGGCTAATAAAATAAAAGGAAACTCGCAACATTCCTCTTCTAAAAGAGTACCGCGAATCCAAAGCAATTAGTATATACGCAAAATTTCCGCGTCAGATGTCGGATTTTAATCAAATATCGGTAAATTATAGAAAAATTATGTCAATATCTCTCTTTTGCCGTAATTGATCTTTTCGTCACTTTATCTTGAAACAGATAACACTGATATTTTATCGTATAATTAATGAGAATAAATAATAACGAAACAAGTGGTTGCTTATCTTTGATTTTATTGATTAATGCATCAAGGATGAAAATGTATGATAAATTAAATTAATCGTTTTAATCTGACAGTTGAAATGTTTCCACGATTGCGACATTTTTCGCCACGGTTGAATCAAAATTGAAAGGAAGCGTGCTATGCACTTGGACGAGGTGCATACAAACACCGGCGTCGTATTATGAATACGGCCCTTCTGAATGGGAGACGTCGCCTATCGTGTCTAAATTAATTGGAGAATGAAGTTCAGCCAAGCGTGATCTGCTCGCGATATCGTCGGTCAATATCGGAGCGGCGAGGCATCGGAGTGCAAAGGTCGACGATCGCTTGGAGCTGGCAATAACGGATGCCGATAGATCATCGCGATTATCATCGAATGACGTGAGACCATATTCACTCCCATTATTTTTTTACGCCTTTTTTTCGCGTAAACATATACACACAGATAAAATTATTTCTCTCGTGACAGATTTATTCTCCTTTCTTCCTATTGACGTTAACCAACAAACCACAAAAGTATAAGAGAAACTAAAGTAAAAACTAAATGTATAGAATATGATAAACAATAACTAGATTGCGAATGCTTGCACGGCCATGGACGTAATAATGAAAAATATATAAAATATTCGAGGCAACTATACATCGTAATATTTCCTTTTAGTTCACGTTAATTATTATTCACGCGAAAATATCAGTTTGCATAGACATCAGTAGTCCAATGGTAACGATAAGGAAAAACAATTCTCAATGTTTCTTCGTATCTCTGAGACGTTTTAGTTTTTCGATCACCTTGTCTCTGATAATAATAATAAATATATATGATAAAAAAAAATAATATGTATAAAAGAATAATGCAGAAGAAAAGAAACGTTTCTCGATGTGATTTACGGAAAGTACTCGTTTAAATTTCATTTTTATGAGTCTGGAATTAATTCGAACCGGAAAGAGCTAACCTCACTGGTGGCGCCAGTTGATCCCTGCGTGCAACAATGTTCCCACGAGGGTTTCTTTAGATTTCTACGTTCTAGGGTGTTCCTGTTATTCGACGGATTTTTTCCAGACGTTGAGTCATTAGGTAAACAGGAGTTAGCGAGAGGAAAACATGGATTCAAAGATGACGAGTTCACCCTCGGAGATTAGGGTGAAACGTGAAGGAATGAAAAACGCGAAGGGATGGCTTTTCCCGGCGTCTGGCGTTGTCAAAGAAGCCGCTAGCCCGATCGTAAAACACGGGCTTGCGCATTTCTCTCGCCTTCCACGAGCCGCGACAACGATTCCCAACTTTTCCCGACCGAGACACGTCTCTCTGCTCTAAATTCCCTTCGCCTGAGAATAACACGATTTCCCAATTCCACGCGAATCGATACGTGAGCTTGCAACAATGCTCGTAACCTATCCCCCCTGGAGAAGATAAAGTTTCAAAGGTCGAACGTCGTTCATTCGATCTGATGTCATAGAAGTATCATGAAAATTCCAATGTGAATTCGTTTTCCTTCAATTCTCGACGAAACAAACTCGTTGGAAGAGAATCTTTGTCCTTTTGCTTGATTTACTCGATGCATGATCGTTCGTTTGTACGCTGCACGGGGTTATTGGGAATTATCATGGGGAAAATTTACGATGTGCCCGGTATTGTGAAACTGGAACTGTAGGAGCCAGTTAACGGCACGGCACTGCTCGGTGAATCGTAGCTTCATTGATTGCGATGTCGTACGCCGGGTCGACGGACGCCAGCGGGGTGAGACGAGGGGCTGCAAAGTGGAACGTGTACTCAGGAACGCGTCACAAAAGCCGGGTGCCACGTTCGCGTGTTTCCATTGAAAATTTTCGCGTCAGAGATCTCAAGAAATTTTGAATACCTCTACGCGCGAGGAAACGAGCTTCGACACTCGGAACTTTGCGAGACGCGTTGAATGAAGAAATTAAAAATCGCGCAAGCCTACGTTTGCTGAATTTCATATCGGTAATAAAGATTTTTAATAAAGAATTCTTCTATCGAAAGAGAATAATGAAAGATGGCTTTGGGAAAATTTTGGGAAGCTACAAAAAAGATAAAAAAAAAAAAAAAAAAAAAAAAGGAAGAAAGAAAGGTGAATGACGAATTGATACCGACGTTCTTGGGCAGGGGCGCCTCGGCCGATTCGCCACTACTCGCGAGCCGGTGCTGCGTTTGTCAGCCTTTGACTCTTCATTCACGAACCATTGACAATCGCAACGAAACGAATTCGTGGCGGTTCTCATCGTTTTTCACCGGTGAATACAGGACACGTCGATCAAACCTATGACCGACTTCATTCATCCTCAGTGCAACGACGAATCTTGCAAATTTCCCATTCCTAATGCTCGAGGACCAATAACCCCGTAAACGAAATAATCTCCCTCTTATATCAGAATCGAACGTTCTGCCACGGGACGATGCGTCCAAACAACAAATTCAAACCGCTGAAGTTACAATAACCCCCGGGGAAGATCTTTCACCCCGGAAAGAGAGGCGAAAACAAAAATCTGCCGAGCCGGGAAGGGAGCAGGGGGGGGGGAGGGGAAGGAAGGGACGAGGGGTGTCTCCGTAAAATTCCTCCGAACAAAGTTTTCCCATTAGAGGCCGCTCCCCTTCTATCCGGTAGAAGAGAGCGGATAGGCAAACAAAATCTATAGGAAGAGGAAACGTAAGCCTTCGAATCGTCCGGAGCTGGTCCAAAAATCATCCGTCGACCCGGCATGGATCTGCGCGCGCGCCGCCGTCGTTCGTCTGCGCAGGAGGGAGAGACGAGAAACGCGGCTGGTGGGGCGACGACGATCGGGGAATATGGCCGGAGGGGTGTGCGGTGGGGGTGAGCGCGAGGAATCGAGCGAACAACGCGGCGCGTGATGCTCGTGCTCGCGATAGTAGTAGTCCGTCGTAACGACGTCGATGACGTCGACGGAGGGCGCTGCCGACGCGGTCCACTTAATCGCTGCTAGTAGTAGTAGCCGGTGGTGGTGGTGGGAATCGTAGTGGCGTGCGTACACGAGGCGACGTGCTCGTGTGATCACGCAGGGGGTAGGAGAGAGGCTCGGCAGCGTGCGCGCCGCTTTAACCCGAAGGAGCGAAGGGGAGCGAAGAGGAGAGGAGAGAAGAGTTAGAGTAGGAAAACGTATATAGAGAGAGGAGTCGGGGGAAGAAGAGAAGAGAAGAAGAGAAGGAAGGAACGAGGCAGCCGGCGATGGTGAAACGAAAGGGTGGTTCGCTAGCGGTTACAGTTTAGTCCCGTGAGTGCGTGGTGTTGCGGCGTGTGGTCACCGATTCGGCCGGTCGAGCGCGTTGCCTCGAGAACGAAACAACACGCTTCCCGGCACGCTTGCGATTCTAACGGGGACAGATCAGGTCGAGCTCACGAGGATAATACGCGAGGATACTATCGCGCGCGACCACGCTCTCTCGTTTCCGTGTGGCGACGGGGGTGTACGACCGAGTACGAGCGTGTATGTGTACGCGTACGCGCACGGAGAGAAAGGCGAGAGCGAGGGCGAGTCCGAAGGTGAAAGAGAGAGACGGCACGTAGGTGTGTGCGCGGCGGCGGTGACAGCGGCGGCGAGGTTGGTGGCGGTAGCAGGTAGCGAGAGAGAGTGGTGCACGGAAGTGTGGCGGTGTCGAGTGGTGGATGGTGGATAGTGGCGGTTCGGGCGGTAGGTCGGATCGGTCGGTAGATCGTCGTCTTCGTCGTCGCCGTCGTCGTCGTCATCGTCGTCGTCGGCGTCGTGATCGTCGTCGTCGTGGTCGGTGACGAGGAGGGTACGAAGAAGAGAAGGAGAGAGAGAGAGAGAGAGGAAAAGGTAAGGTAAAAAGAGAAAGGAGGCGTGTGGAGACGAGGAGGGAAGAATATAGAGGAACGTGAACAACGGAACGTGGAGGCGAGACGATCACGGGACCGAAGAGAACAGAGGCGAGGATGAGATCGATAAGGAGGGAGTCAAAGTGGTACGGGTTTCGCGAAACGGGAACGCCGCGGCGCGTGTAGGCACACGGCTGATAAACAGACGCGCGTAAAATACGCACGCACGCGCCCCGACCACTCTGCTCGACCCCGTGTTGGCAAAGAGTTCCGCGGAAGAGAGTCGGTTCTTGCGACTGGACACGAACACGGCGAAGATCAGGCACCGTCCAGAGGATCCGCGAGAGACGGAGGGCGAGGGAGAGAGGAGAGATCGGAAGAGACACGGAGGAAGAGGGAAGATAAAGGAGGAGGATATCGGTACGGTGAG